GCTCTACACCTTGTTATCTCAGATTCTCCAGCATCTGCAGTTCCTACTATCTGCGAAGTCTTGGATGTTTTTTTTAAAATTGGAACAGTAGAAGCACGAGTAGGTGGAGATACAAACAGACCTGGAATTTTGCAGGTTTTGCTTTAGTTAGTTAGTGGGTATGTACCGAGAGTTTGGAAAGAAAAGACCTCTCTCTCTCGCTCTCTGGGGAGTTGCTGCCTGTATGTCTTTCTTGCAGATAGGATTGCACATGAAACAATCTGTTTTCTGAATTTGCCTTTTGCCAAGGGTGTGTTTATGGGATGTTACTATATTAGAACAGTTAATTAGTAATAGTTACTGTATTATTCTGTTAAGTTTTCCAGTCGAGTTGTTATTCCAAATTCCTCTTTCTTTTGCTATATATTAATTATAGTGCTTAAATAAATCGTGTTTTGCTTAATGTTGAGTAGTTCGACCAAACGACTTGCATCTGGAACACAGCACCTCACTTTACCTCTAAAATAAGAACAAGTTAAGGTCTAAGCTACCTTCTTAACATATTTTGGGGGCATCTCCTTTACCCCTCATGAAGTGCGATGATGCATGTTGGAAATGAGAACGATCTGCATAGTCCTCCTCTCATGAGAAGTTCAGCAAGTGTCTCACTGCCTCTGTTCCAGAGGAAGATACATACCTGTCTAGCTTGCATCCGGCAATCATCAATGAAGTAGCTGGACAGTGTTCTGGCTGTCCACTGAAGATTCGACAGACCTGGTGCTATTTTCTTGTCCAGAAATTTGATCCTGTCTCGGAAGAGGTTCCGCTGCTCTTTCGTTAACTCATCAAGAATTCTACAATTACAACAGACGGTTATACTCCAGAAAGCCACAGTGAATAGAACTGAAGCAAAATTTTGCACAAGTTTATACTTACCTACAGAGTTAGATATTAAAAGCAACTTCTAAACTGATAACCATAGTTTTGTAAATAAAAACAGCAAATGCTGGAAAAGTCAGCAGGTCTGGCAGCCTCTGTGGAGTGAGAAGCATTAATGTTTCAAAGCGCTATGATGTCTTTGGCTTTCTGGTTACTCAGTGTGGCCCAGATGGAACTCCAAACCCACAGCAATTCTTAACTGCCCTCTGAAATGGCCAAACAGACCACTCAGTACAAGAGCAATTATGGATGGGCGATAATGGGCTAGTCTTTCCAGCAACACCCACATACCACAAAAAGAATTTTAACAAATATTGATAAGTAAGTCCTCATGAGTTGCCTAAAAGAAGGATGTGGTAGATAAATGAAGTAGGAGCAGGAATAAACCATTTAGAGTCACAGAGTTGCACAACACGGAAACAGACTCTTTGGTCCTACTCGTCCATGGCAACCAGATATTCTACATTAATCTAGTCCCATTTGCCAGCATTTCATATCCCTCTAAGCCCGTCCTATTCATACAATTACAACATTTAAAAGGCATCTGGATGGTTGTAACAGCCTCTACCACTTCATTTGGCAGCTCATTCCATACACATACCACCATCTGCATGAAAAAGTTGCCCCTTAGGTCCCTTTTAAAACTTTCCCTCTCACCTTAAATCCATGCCTTCCAGTTTTGGATTCCCCTACCCCGGGGAAAAGACCTTGGCTATTCACCCTGTCCATGCACCTCATGATTTTATAAACCTCTATAAAGGTCACTTCTAGCCTCTGATGCTCCAGGGAAAATAGCTCCAGCATATTCAGCCTCACCCTATAGCTCAAACCCTCCAACCATGGCAACATCCTTGCAAGTCTTTTCTGAATCCTTTCAAGTTTCGCAACATCCTTCCTATAGCAGGGAGACCAGAATTGAAAGCAGTATTCCAAAAGTGGCCCAACCAATGTCCTATACAGCTGCAACATGACCTACCAATTCGTATACTCAATGCACTGACCAATACAGGCAAGAGTACCAAATGCCTTCTTCACTACCCTATCTGTGAATCCGTTTTCAAAGAACTACATACCTGCACCCCTTGACATATTTGCCCATCTGATCAAAGTCCCGTTCCACTCTGAGGTAACCTTCTTCGCTGTCCACTGCACCACCAAATTTAGTGTCATCTGCAAACTTACTAACCACACCTCCTATATTCACATCGAAAACATTTATACATACCACAACATACAACGGACTGGGCACCAATCCTTGTGGCACACTGCTGGTCACAGGCCTCCAGTCCGAAAAGCAATCCTCAATCACCATCTTCTGTCTCCTACTTTCTAGCCAATCTTGTATCCAAATGCCTAGTTTTTCCTATATTCCACGTGATCTAACCTTACTAACCAGTCTACCATGCAGAATCTTGTTGAACGCCTTACTGAAGTCCATATAGACAATGTCCACTGTTGTGCCTTCATCAATCTTCTTTGTCACTTCTTCAAAAATCTTAATCAACTTGGTGAGACCCGTCAAACCTGTTCCACCATTCAACTAGATCATGGCTGACCTTCTACTTCAACACCAAGTTTCCACATTATCTTTAATACCTCATGATCTCAGTCTTGAACACACTCAACAATGGAGCCTCCACAACCCTCTGGGAATAGCAAATTTCAAAAATTCACCATTCTCATGGTGTAGAAATTTCTTCTTAACACAAGCCTAAATGATCAAACTCTTACTTCTAGACCATGTGCCCTGGTTCTAGGCTCCAGGCCCTCACCCACAGACAGAAGGAAGATCTCTTCCTGCATCTACCCTGTTGAACCAGTAGGAATTTTGTTTGCTTCAATGAGATCACCTCTCATTCCTCTAAATATACCCAGTTTCCTCAAGCTCTCCTCATAGGACAATTCTTCCATCCTCGGGGTCAGTCTGGTGAACACTGGTTAAAAAATTAGTTAGGTCAAAATCATGGCACTCCCTTCCTAATTGTGGATCTACCCACAGCAAACTGACTGCAATAGTTCTGGAATGCAATTCACCATCAGCTTCTCGAGGGCAACTAGAGATGGACAATTAATGCTGCCCTAGCCAGCAATGTCTCTATTCCATGAATAGAGACAACATCTTCTTTCTATGGCAAATATAAAGACTGAACAGACCTCCCATTCTCGATAGCAAAGTTCACCTGTTATACCAAAAGGGTTAAGTGTATAGTCAGTGAGCACAAGTTTAGTTTGTACAGTGGATTATGGGAAAATGGACAATATGAAAGGTCTTAAATTTAACAGCGATCAAAGCAAACAATGGTTGATGCTCAGGAACTGGTATTTTGATGACACAAAAGGTTCAGTAACCGGGCAGCCATGTTGAAACAGCAAGTCACAGCATACTTCTACTCTGGGCTCTTTCCATGACTCTTTTACTGGTACATCCGTGACTACATTGGGCTGCTTCCTGTTCTTGGGAATTGGAAAAATCCATCAATCTTGCTTCCCATTACCTAATTTCTCTTGCTTTCACTCCAGCCATCTCTAACTCTTCCCTTCCCTTGCCTCACTACACTGCTTCGCTTTCTGGGGATAGGCTGACCACCAGTATCCATTACAAACACACCAACCCCAACAGTTATCTTAACTACTCATTCTCAAAACCTGATTCCTTAAGAATTCCATTCCATTCTCCCAGTTTCTCGGTCTCCATTACATCTATTCCAATGATCATAGGGGCAGTGGCTGCAGAAAATTCCTGGATATTACTGCGACTCACTGAAGGACATTAGAATTATGACCACTTCCTTGAGCCTCTTCCACGTTCAATAAAACCACCAATGATTTTCGGGCACAACTCCATTTCTCCCCGCCCCTCCCCCCACACATGTAACCATACTTTCCTATAAATCCTATAAGTTGCATGAGGAATCTAAATGGATTTTAAAAGATCGCAGAACAAACAGCAGCAGGTGCGGTGAACTCAAAAGTTAATGTCAAGAGGGGTTATATTCATCAGACTCATTGTGAATTATTCCAACCTCAGCCACACACTTCAACAACACACACCAACCTGTTGTAATCACGAACAACCAGGAGAACACGCTCTTGGAGCATCCTGAGGTCCTCCCTTCGCTGGTAGACCTCTATAACATAGTGGGGGATCTCAAAGTTCAAACGTTCCCAGTAATGGATTTCATCAAACAACTCCAACAGGTACCTGCAAGAAATGGGAAAAAGTAAAAACACAGTTGGCACAAGCCCTTCAAAAATGTCATTAATCACCCAGTGTGGGACAAGTGGCACAATTATTTTTGAGAAATGGCAAGTAGAAATTTGGGGTGGTGGTGGTGAAATGGTAGTGTCACTGGATTAGTAATCCAGAACCCTAGGCTAATGTTATGGGATCATGGGTTCAAATTCCATCGCGGCAGACTGTGGCACCTGAATTCAATGAAACTCTGGAATGAGAAAAGCTAGCCTTATGGCAAATAGGTAAGCACTGTAAATAGTTACAAAAACCTAATGCCCTTAAGGGAAGGAAACCTGCCAACATTACCTGGTCTGGCCTACATGTGACTCCAGACCCACAGCAATGTGGTTGACTCTTAACTGCCCTCTGGGCAATTAGGGACGGGCAATAAACGCTGGCCTAGTGAGCGGCACCCATATCCCATGAATGAATTTTAAAAGAAGTACCATTAATATATGGGACACTCAGCACTGAGAACCTCCAAGGTGGAGGTATAGCTTGTAAAAGGTACAGCAGATTTTGTAATTTGAATTTAATTGCATACAGGTGGTGGGCATTAACCAGTGATTCACTTACGCACCTCCCAAAAGGAACTATCCAAAGAATGTGGTAATGCATTGGCAGCGTCCCTACCAATGGGCAGCAAGGTCCATGTTCAATACCCACTTCGGGAAGTGATGGCCATGGAGGTATGTCATAACATATCCAAACGGATTGTTTAAGAAGAAATTGTACAAAGGAACAGACTGAAATTCTGGTTGCTTTGGATTAGAAGGTACAGCCAGTGTGTAAATAAATGTTTATAAAATTATGTAAAGATTGCCACCAGCTCCATCTTTCACCACCTGACTATCTGGTTTATAACAGTTGGAAAATGTGGCCAAACTGAACAATTGTATGACCAAAACAATGGGTTTAGATGAGGTTCCTTACATTTGGAGAGGGTTGTTGCCACATGAAATGCTTTGGGAAAACTTTATTAGGTTGAATGCGCAACATAACTGTATGCTGTTGTGAAATGTGTGTGCGCAAGCCCATTGAAATGGTTTGTTTGTTTTAGCTTAATAAATCACGTTTAGAAAGTAGCTCTAGCAATGCAGATTTTTTTCTGAGCGCTCATGTTTTTCACATGAATTGACACAAGCCTTCCATCTCTGCATTTGCTGAATGATACAAAAAAGATTGAGGGCTTTAGAATGCACTCTATTGTCACATGTACTCAAATGAGTATAGTGAAAAGTTTGTAAGTCCCCACTTACGGTGCTATCTTAGGTTCAAAGGTTCCTCGGTACAGATTCTTCAGTATAAATTCCCAAGGAAAAACAAATTAGAACGATAAAGAAATAAAAAGTCCAACATTGCAGATCATGGGAATAAATTAGAAAAATAAAGAAATAAGAAGTTAACAGTCCTTCCAACCCAATCCACACCGGCACCTAGAACAAAGGCCAAAGAACAATACAGCACAAGAACAGGCCCTTCAGCCCTCCAAGCCTGTGCCATCATGTTTTGCCTTCCATACTAAAACTGTCTTCACTTACAGGATCCGTGTCCCTCTATTCCCTTCCTGTTCATGTATTTGTCCAGGTGCTTCTTGAATACTGCTATTATGTCTGCGTCCATCACCTCCTCTGGTAATGCATTCGAGACACACACCACCCTTCATGTGAAAAACTTATCCTGGCATTCAGCTACTTATATTTTTCTTTATTCTTTCGTGGAATATGGTGTCACTATCCAGACCAGCATTTAATATCTATTTCTAATCGCCTTTAAACTGAGTGGCTTGCTAGGGTAGTTTCAGAGGGCAGTAAAGAATCAACCACATTGCTATGGGTCTGGAGTCATACAGTCAGAGTCATACATCACGGAAACAGACCCTTCAGTCCAACCAGTCCATGCCGACCATAATCCCAAACTAAATTAGTCCCACCTACCTGTTCCTGGCCCATATCCCTCCAAACCTTTCCTATTCATTAACTTATCCAAATGGCTTTTAAATGTTAAAATTGTACCTGCATTCACCACTTGCTCTGGAAGTTCATTCCACACACAAACCACCCTATGTGTAAAATTTTGCCACTTGTCTTTTTTAACTCTTTCTCCTGTCACCTTAAAAATGCAGCAAGACCAGCTAAGTGTGGCAGATTTCCTTCTCAATAGGGCATTAGAGAACCAAATGGGTTTTTACCACAACAACGACAGCATTCCAGTCACATCGAGCATTCAATTCCAGATTTATTAATTGAATTTAAATTTTAGCAGCCATCATGGTGGGATTTGAACCCATGTTGCCACATCATTATCTTTGGTCTCTGGATTACTGGTGCAATGATATAACCACTACACCAGCATCAATCCTTTACCTTGCACATGGACCATTATTACCTTGATCCCAATGTTATCCAGCCCCTGATGTTTTACAGTCACTGACTTGAGGTTTTGTAAACTCACATGTCGAAGTTTACATTGAGCTTGCCTCGATCCTCGAGGTTGCGAATCATCAGAGGTCTCTCCAGGCGCTTCATGCATTCCCGGTCTATGTTGACTGTCCACTCTGTGAAGACTTTTCGCACAAATTCATCCAGGCTCTGCTGCAGCGTCTGGAAGACCACCTTCGTCTCTTCACCCAATCCAATTTTGGGCAGGAATGTGGCTTGGGTCAGAATCTATAAGTTTTGAGAGAGAGATTAAGAAGGCTTTTCTCCCCCCAACCCTTTCCAGAATTACCTCCTTGGTATGTGTCCAACAATTTTGTTATCCCACGTGTATATTTATTATATATGATGCCAGATATTATCAAACAATTGTGTAACTAACCAGTCCACATTTCTTCTCCTGAGAGTCTAAGCCTGCCCTTGTAGACTTGGGCCAGATGTCCCAAAATTTACTCCAGGCTAACTAATGCCTGTTAATAATAGGTGTAGGGCCCAGAGGATTGAAAGCCATTAACAGAAGAAACTGTATTGGGAAGATCTCAAAATGTTTTCACAGATAAAGCTAATGAACCATTTCCACCCTCCGCACCTACCTACCTCACCTCATTCTACACTCTTTGTGTGAAGAAACTGGACAACCCGGCTCCAATTTAAGGTGATGACTCCTCTCTGCAAAAAAGGAATAATTCTTTTCTATCTGCCCTATCAAATCCATTAATCAACTTAGACACTGGGATTAGATCATCCCTTTATCTTCTTACACTCAAAGACATACAAGCATATAAAATTATGATGGGACTTGGAAGGCTGGATGCGGGAAGAATGTTCCCGATGTTGGGGAAGTCCAGAACTAGTGATCACAGTCTAGGAATCAGGGGCGAGCCGTTCAGGACTGAAATGAGGAAGAATCTCCTTAGTCAGAGAGTTGTCTCTCCCACAGGAAGCTGTTTGGGCCAGTGCATTAGATATTTCAAGAGGGAGCTGGACATGGCCCTTGGGGCTAAAGGGATCAAGGAGTATGGATAGAAAGCAGGAGTGGGAAATGGAAATTGCATGATCAGCCATAATCATATTGAATGGTGGTGCAGGCTCGAAGGGACGAATGGCCTCCTCCTACACCTTTTTCTATGTTACTATGTTAATGCTAGATGTTCCTAGATCAAATGTTGTACAAGCCAATAAAGAGACACAAAACTGTAACTCATCTGCTATCGTTTGACAGCATACCCTATGCAAGATGATAGGACATCGACAGCAGGAGTAGGTCATTTGGCTTGTTGAGCCGGCTCTGCCATTCGCCATGGCTGATCATCCAGCCCTACACATTTGTCCCCCTTATCCCCATGCCCATGTGAAATGTGAATCTTCCCACTCCCCACTGCTGCCTTGGACTGGTCAGTGGCCTGCTGCGGGAGACTACGCGGGACTATGTGAGAGTATTACTGTTGAAATCATTCTGACCTACTGTGTTGAGGTTTCTAGCAGTACACTGGATACATCTGTGACCTAGCAAGGAGGCATAAGGCTGGGAAACTGCGGAGGTGGTGGTGGTGGGAATTCTGGTGAAATTTAGTTAGCTGCTCACATTTCTACAATTTAAGAGACATGCTGTTCAAACTTTTCATTCTGCACTAACTAGGGCAGGTGCAAAAAGTGCCAAATTTCAAAGACAGCAACAATTTATACTACATTAGAAAAGGATGCTGATTGTTTGGCAAGTTGACTCCAATTACATGTCACTTTTAGCAATCATAACAGAGTCAAACTGTGAGTCCGACTGATAAATTATGCTAACAATCAATCTAAGATTCAGAGAGTTTTACAGATGGCAACCCAGCAATCAGGTGATACATTCTGATTGATTTGTGGAAACATGCTACTTGCCTCCATTGATCTATCGATCCGACGCCGAAGAGAGCGGGCCCAGTGAGCCTGGCCAGCATACCGTGGCATCTGTGGGGCCAGATGCATGGCCTTCCTGTTCAGGTCTTTGTTCACCAGCGACAGCTCATCACTGAATAGTATGTAGACTTCCACAATTTTTTTATCAATGGTCCGTTTGATGGTCTATGAGGAATACAACAGTCTGTATTTTATAGTAGGCCAGTGTCAGGCATGGACTTCCTGCTGAAAAAGCCATCCCCTAGCTTATATCTGTACAGGAAGATGGAATGAGATCGAGCTCCTTCCCCAGCCCAAAAAAGTGCACGCTTGATAACAACTGTATCATCTTGGGTAGATATCAAGTGGAAGAAAGGCAATTCGCTGTGCTTTAAATGGGTCTGAAATGCTTATGTCACCACCTAAAGTCACATTCCTGAAAATCGCAATAGTGAATGGAAAGACTTTAAATGAAACTTCGATTCCCAGGAATCAATGTTAAGACTGGAGAAAGCTTTAGGAGGACCTTCCTTAGTGGGACAGCTAGCTAATTGGATTCAAAATTGACTCGACGGTAGGAAGCAGAGGGAAATGGTTGAAGGTTGTTTCTCAGAATGGAGGTCTGTGACTAGTGGTGTGCCACAGAGGTTGGTGCTGGGACCTTTGTTATTCGTTACTTACGTAAATGATCTGGATGTGAATGTACAAGGCATGATTAGTAAGTTTGCAGATGATACAAAATTAGGAGGTATCATTGATAGTGAGGAAGGTTATCAAAAATTACAGAGGGATCTTGATCAGATGGGGAAGTGGGCTGAAGATTGGCAAATGCAATTCAACACAGATAAGTGTGAGGTGCTGCACTTTGGAAAGTCAAACTAAGGTAGGACTTATACAGTAAATGGTAAGGTCCTGAGGAGTGTTGTGGAACAGAGGAACCTAAGAGTACAAGTACATAGTTCATTGAAAGCAGCGTCACAGGTGGACAGGGTGGTGAAAAAGACATTCAACATGCTGGCCTTCATCGGTCAAAGCTTGAGAATGGGAGTTGGGACGTTATGTTACAACTGTGTAAGTTGTTATTGAGGCCGCACTTGGAGTATTGTGTACAGTTTTGGTTACCCTGTTATAGGAAAGACATAGTTAAACTGGAAAGTTTGCAATGAAGATTTACAAGGATGTTGCCAGGACTAGTAGGCCTGATTTATAGAGAGAGGTTGGACAGGATAGGACATTATTCCTTGGAACATAGGAGAATGAGGGGTGACCTATTGAGGTGTATAAAACCATGAGGGGCATAGATAGGATGAATACACACAGTCTTTTTCCCAGGGATGGGGAAGTGAAAACTAGAGGGAATAGGTTTGAGGTGAGGGGGAAAGATTTAAGAAGGACCTGAGGGGCAACTTCTTCACGCAGAGATTGGTGCGTATATGGCATGGGCTGCCACAGAAACTGGTCGAGGCAGGTACAATAGCAACATTTAAAAAACATTTGAATAGGCACTTGGATGGGAAGGATTTAGAGGGATATGGACCAAATGTGGGTAATTGGAACTAGCTGAGTGGGCACCATGGTCAGCATGGACCAGTTTGGGCCAAAGGGCCTGTTTCCATGCTGTACTACAGTATGACTATTACTGTAAGGAGGAATGGCACCCAGCATTCTCATTAAGCTGCATGATTGTGCATGTGCTCAGCCACTCCAATGTTCCACAGATGGTGATTGGAGTTGGCGCACCAATCACATCATTGACTTTCAGTTCTGGAAGTTGCTGCTTAGGAGGCACATGCAGCTGTAAAGAAAATTGGAGGGAGCACTGGTGGCACCTCTGGTCCATATCATGGCAGCACACTGCTGCTACTGTGCTTCAGTGGTGGAGCGAGTGAATGGTGGTAGTCTGGGTGAATGGGGTGGCATTCAAGTGGGAAGACATTCCTCCTCTCTAATAATATAAAACAAAGAATTGCAGATGCTGGAGATCGGAAACAAAAACTGTTAAGTGCTGGAGAAATCCACAGATCTGGCAACATTCGTGGAGAGAAAATCAGAATTAGTGTTTTGACTGCAATCACCATCCAGAATCATTTCAGGGAGGGTCAATGGACTTGAAATATTGACTCTATCTATCTCTCCACAAATGTTCCAGCACTTTCTGTTTCTCATCTCCACATCTGGTATAGCAAATCTCTGAACCCAAGATTGTGACTCCTGCTTCTGTACTCGGCAGATGACAGAAAGCTCACCTCCCATTTTAATAAAGACGAGGAAAGAATCCCTCATCCTGATCCAAGATCACTGGTTTCCGCACAGGAAACAGAGAGCTTTTTTCAGTTACATGTACGGTACTGGCCCTGAGATTGCTCATATTCAATCATCGCCCATACCTCACGGTTAGCAAGACGCTGGAATACATCTAGGAACTCTATTCCATGCTGTACTGTAGTCATGGTTTCAAACGAGGATGAGATCAGATTCTGCATCATTACTTCCAGATCTTTGATACCTGAACGGAACCTGAATAAAAACATAAAAACAGCGGGCAGTGAAAGCTCAGCACTCTGCCTGTCTCTGCCTCTAAAAAGTCCTGGGTAATAAAATTTAACTGCTGGCAGTGAAGAGGCTGCACTGTTACTGGGCAGTGAGCAGTCTTGCTGAGGTTCAGAGTGCTGGTGCAAAACTTACTTTAAACACAACCAAGAATGAACCCGGAACAGTTAATGGTCAAGCAACTTTTTTGATAAAAGAAAGAAAAACTTTTCATTTCCATAATGCTTTTCACACTCTCAAGACCTCTTAAAGTGGGGGGACATCTCGCTAAGGGATGGCAAAATGGTATTATTGCTAGAGTATTAATCCAGAGACCAGAAAATTTTTGGGAACCTGGATTTGAATCCTGCCAAAGCAGTCGGTGGAACCTGAATCCAAAAAAAAATCTTGAATTAAGAGTCTAATAATATCCAGGAAACCATTGTCGATTGTCCAAAAAACCCACTTGGCTCATTTTCTTACGGAAAGAAACTGCCATCTTTACCTGGTCTGGCCTACATGTGACTCCAGACCCACAACAATGTGAAAACCAAAAGAACTGCAGATGCTGTAAATCAGGAACAAAAACAGAAGTTGCTGGAAAAGCTCAGCAGGTCTGGCAGCATCTGTGAAGAAAAAAATCAGAGTTAATGTTTCAGGTCTGGTGACCCTTCCTCAGAACCCCTTCCTCCAATTCATGGGTATTGGCACCAGCACTGGGGGGAAAACAAAAATAAAAACAAGGAAATAGCAGATAATGTAAAAAAAATTACATCAGTCTTCACTGTGGACACTACCAAACATTACAAAGATATCGGATAAGCAAGGAGCGATTGGGAGGAAAGGTCTTGTCGCAATCTTTTTCACAAGGGATAAATTGTTTGACAAACTGATGGCATCAAAGGCAGACAATTCACCAGGATCTGATGACCTGTATCAAAGGTTTTAAAGGAAGTGGCTACAAAGGTAGAGAAGTCATTGGTTGAAATATTCCAGACTTCACTGGATTCCAGAAGAGTTCCAGCAGATTGAAAAGCTGCTAAAGTGACACCTCTGTTCAAGTAGGAGAGGAGACAGAAAACAAAAAACTGTAGGCCAATAAATCACTGGGAGATAGCAAGAACTGCAGATGCTGGAGTCAGAGACAACACAGTAGGTCAGGCAGCATCAGAGGAGCAGGAAAGTTGACGTTTCGGGTCAGGACACTTCTTCAGAAAAAAAGTCAATTTTCCTGATCCTCTGATGGTGCCTGACCTGCTGTGTTCCTCCAGCTCCACAAACTATAGACCAAGGAGCCTAACATCTGTCATTGGGAAAATGTTAGAGTCCATTACTGAGGAAACAATAGTACGATATTTCGAAAAACTCAACGCAATCAAATCCACATGGTCTTGTGAAAGAGAAATCATGTTTGACAAATCTGGGCAGATGAGAGATAATCATGTTGAATAGTGTGCAGGCTTAAGGCGGGGTTGAATAGCTACTCCTGCTCCCATTTTTAATGTTTCAATCTAAACATTGCCCAGAACACCAGGGGAAATTTTCCTGTTCTTCCACAATTGGTGGCAAGTGCAATTTTTAACATCCACCTGGGAGATCCAAGGGAATGTGGCTTCACATTACCTCTAAAAGAGATACCCATGACACAGCAGTGCTCCTTCATTGCCGAGTTTTCAAAAAATGCAGTGCTCCCAAAGCACTGGCATTCTAACAGTGCAGCACTCTCTCAGTATTGGCCCTCTGACAGCACAGCACACACTCAGCACTGACCCTCCAACAGCGCAAGACACACTCAGCACTGACTTTTCGTGTCAGTGTTCTGATACAAAGGTGAGAGAGTGCTGCCCACCGAGCCTCAGCTGACACCGATGGGAAAAAGGCAAGAAAGGAGTTGAAAACATAAGAACTGCCACAGCTAACATAATAGCTGAGCAGTCTCAATGGACCCCCTTTGCTATCTAATAGGTTTGTCACTTGGTAATGTGTCCCTAAAGTAATCTCGTCAGGGTCAATAAGACTGACCTACTGTACTCATCGTGCCAGAATGTATTCTTAACATCCAGGATTTCGTTCTTCATGACTTTTAGCAATTGTAGGATTTTGTCGAAGGTGGCTTCAATCTCTAGGAGACTCCGAGTTATTTCAGGACCACGATGCCCCCCAAAACAGGGCAGGGGTATCTGCTCACCATCTTCCCATCGGGCAAAGAACTCCTGGCAGTCACACACCTGGGCACATTGAAGGAAGGAACAGCAGCATTTCACACAATTGCAGCATAAATGATTAATCACCAGCAGGTTTTCACAAACCAAACATTAAACTGTCAGTGAGTGACTGGAATGCATAGCCACTAACCTCCTAACTGTAATTTAAAAAAAAAGGAGGAATGCTTGATTTCTGTAGCACCTTTAGCTCCAATATGTCTTACTGTGGTTCATAGCCAATGAAACCCATTTGAACAGAAATAGTGGTCAGGAATGTCACCAGACTATCTGTTTCCAACTGCTGCTGATTCAGGACAAAATATTGGTTAGAACATTGCAAATAACTCTCCACTCAGGAGATGGGAATTTGGAGTACTCAGATCAGCCATGATCTTACTGAATAGAGGAGCAGGCTGGAAGATCCACTGGCCTACTCCTTCCCAGAATTCACATTTGTAAGATCTCCTTCACAATGTTTGCACAAAACAAAGATCCACCCACATGGCCTTGATATCCCTCAGCGCTGACCCTCCGACAGTGCGGTGCTCCCTCAGCGCTGACCCTCCGACAGTGCGGCGCTCCCTCAGCACTGACCCTCCGACAGTGCGGCGCTCCCTCAGCACTGACCCTCTGACAGTGCAGCGGTCCCTCGGTACTAACCCTCCGACAGTGCCCACTCCCTCAGCACTGACCCTCCGACAGTGCCCACTCCCTCAGCGCTGACCCTCCGACAGCGCGGTGCTCCCTCAGCGCTGACCCTCCGACAGTGCACTCTATCATTGGTGACCGCTGACAGTGCAGTGTTCCCTCAGCACTGACCATTTGACAGTCAAATCTCTTGTACAAGATAGTCTCAAGTCTAGCATATCCATATGTCAGTAGTTGGCCTGTAGTATTTGTTTATACAGGAGTACCTAGCTATCGTGATGAGACAGAGTACAAGATAAAGGTAGTTCCAGTAGAAAATCAGGGGAAGGCATGCGGAGGAGAAAAGAACAAAGGGGAATTTGTTTTCCAAATCCTGGCATGCCCTTGCTTCTAAACCATTAACATTTCTAACTTCTTATAGCTCTGATAAAAGGGTCACCAATCTGGAAGATTAACTCTTTCTTCCTGTCTGACCTCTTGACAGCCTCCCAGCATTTCCAGCTTTATTTCAGAGTTCCATATCTGCACTATTTGGTTTTGGGTCATGTTATCATAATCTGCCTATGGATGAAGATTAAATTACTTTTGCAACCATACCTCAAGCAGGTCCCTGCATCTCTGTATAAAAGCATCCACTTGGGCAAAGACACTTGTGTTGTCCAAGATCCAGGGAACATTTGAAAATCTGGAACAAGACAAGACAAGCAGATTTTAGACACAGAGTAAGCCTCCCCATGCCCTCAGATTTCCAGGCCCTATCTTTCCCCAGTCCCATCCTGAAAATGCAGGACCACTGCAAGTGGCCTCAACAGCAGATTTTTTAAATGGAACTTGACCAGTTCTAAAACCCCCTCCACATTTTATTGACTGTAGCAAGCTAATGAGGTCAAGATGCCCTTTTGTATTAATGTTGGGCTAAAAACACCATTTTGACTCCTTTATTTCATAAACATGGAGATGAATTTATGAAGAATTACTGCAAAATTAGCATCCAGAGGCAACTATTTCACCTTGTGTAAGTTATAACTGAAGAATTAGCAATTAATTAAGTAGTGACATTTTTGAGATTGCATTATATTCAGAAGTCTGTAAGTTTGTTTAAAACAATCAATTTGCTGTTAAAAGTTCTGTCTCCACAGGGTAGGACACATGCTACTTGGAACCTCCCTGCCCTTGGTAAAGTTAGACAAGGACTGGATCATGAGTGGAGAGTTGTACAAAATCAGATGGAACAGACACTGGACAGTTCCATTGTATCATTTTGTACACCAGTGTTAAATCAATGAAACTAATTCGTAACAGAATTGATTAATTGGTGCAATTTGGGATAGGTTCTCGATTAGTATGGGAATCAAAGGTTATGGGGAGAAGCCAGGAGAATGGGGTTGAGAAACATATCACTCATGATTGACTGGTGGAGCGGACTCAATGGACCAAGCGGCCCAATTCTGCTCCTATATCTTAAGGTCTTATGGGATGAGGTGATGATAATTTAAGGTTAAAAGTACAGGTTCCAAGGATATTTTGTATGTAGCCATGAACTAAAAGCTCCTAAGGCAACATTTTGGAAGAAACTGCTGCTTACAAGGAATTTACCATTCACGGGATGTAGTAAATGGAAATATGAACATTTTTCTTGAAGTTATTCAGTATATCTTCTACTTTTAAATAAAAATTTTAAAACTTACTATCCAGAGCTCTGTTTTTGCCTTAAAAGGTTAACTTCACAGAATCCCTACAGTGTGGAAGCAGGCCATTTGGCCCATTGAGTCTACACAGACCCTCTGAACAGCATCCCACCCAGACCCACTCTGTCACCCTATCCCTGTAACCCTGCATTTCCCATGGCTAACCCACCTAGCCTACACACCCCTGGTCACTATGGGCAATTTAACATAGCCAATCCAGCTTAATCTGTACATATTTGTACACGGGAAAAAACCAGAACACCCAGCGGAAATCCACACAGACGGTCGGAGAACATGCAAATTCGACACAAACAGTCACCCAAGGGTAGAATCGAACCCAGGCCCCTGGTGCTGTGAGGGAACAATACTAACCACTGAGCCACTGTGCCGTTAAACACTTGTCTGAATGACAATTAGATGACCAACACAAAGGAGACTGTAAATTGCAGGCCAAGGAAGTTGCATTGGACCTTTGGTAGGTCACCATCAAATGCTTTGAAGAGCCGATCACAGACTGTGGATAGGAGACATGCAGGATGGGCTCAACTCTACTCACAGAACAGTCCAGATAAGGGTGGAAGCTTTACTTCCCTGAAGGGTGTTGGTCTTTAGATTCAGTTATTGATGACAACCCAGCAGCTTTCTTGGTCATTTTATCAGGCGTCAGATCATAATGTATCAGATTTATGGAGATCAGTTTCATTGCTTGTCAGGGTAGGATTTGAACTCACCGTTTCAGGGTTATCTAACCAGAAACCTTAACCATGTACTGCTGCATTCATGATTGAATCATGACTGACATTACATCTGAGGCTGATAACACTTTCACCAAAGTACAGGCATGGGCACATGCATGGTGCACACAGGAATTCATTCATATTCACACATGGAGACATCAGTAAACTGACACACTCTCACACATAAGCATCTACACAGATAAACACAGATTTGTGACAAGCAGGAGAGTGAGGGGTTATGGGAGACAGGCAGAAAAGTGATGTTAAGGCCACAATCAGATCAGCCATGATCTTATTGAGTGGCAAGCAAGCTTGAGGAGGCAAATGGCCTGCTCCTGTTCCTATTTCTTATCATCTTATGATCACACTCGCAGACAGACACCTGCATTCACACTCCAGCAGAGGAGAGCAGATAGAAATCTAGAGGAGGATCATCACTGCCTGCCCTTTCCTCAGCCTACAGGCCAATTAAACACTAATTTGGACAACCACCAAGCAATATGAGATAAGCAAATGGTTTAAACACTGGGATAACAGCATAAGTCAATAATCCAGAGCAGAGGAGAGCAGTGGATGTGATCGGGCCTCACCTGGTATGTATGGAGGAAGCACGTGCAAAGTGGGCTTTCCAGCTTTGACAACATTCAATGCAGTCATGGAGAGTGAGCTTACTCAAGTTGATGTGGCCATCAAATATCTTGTCCAATGAGATCTCTCCGGAGCACAGACGAATTATCTCATTACTCAGCTGAAAAGAGACCGGGTGGCAGATGGGGAGAGTAGGTTCATTACTACTGTGTTCAGACTGAAAACAATAAGGTTACGGGAGGCAAAATGGGCCCAGTCATTGCAATTCAATTTATTGCTTTGACCACATATTTCCAACCATTATGGCGAGATGTTGATCAGCACAACGTAATGCAAAACAACTCTTGTTTATGCTAAAGACTGTACAGCCATGATAATCATACTCACTGCATTATTTATTAAAGTAAATCACCATTTAAAATTTGCACAACCTATTTCCATTTCATGCATATTCCTTCATGTACTTTATTTACATAATTTATTTACACAATCTGGCACTTTAACTTTTGTAATCAATTAGCTTCATATTTCTAACAGTGCCCTGAAATTTGGCACTTCAATGAGCGTACAAAAGCCTAATGTGTTCTAACATTACCCTTTCAATTATTCTGGTGATATTATCACAACAGAAGAATCTCACACAAAACTGTTCATAATTTCCAATTTAACATCTGAAGAGTAACATTTGAAGGAATCCCAGCTTCAGAAATTTGTACAACTGCAAAAATAATGCTTAATCATTGAAGCATACTAACAGATATGAAACAATAAATTCCAGATGAGCCACTGCTCCTGTACTTTACAGTTTGACTGTGTAAAGCTGATTCCATCTTGGCCCAGCTTCAACATATTTACTATCACAAGGGAGTTGAATAAAACAGAAGGGCGCTTACCAGGTTTGCAAAATGTCTTCCTCCTCCCTAAAGGTAACGGAGTTCACCTCAGCCCTGAAACCTTTGCAATGAATGGGTGGGAGATGCTTCACAAAGCTTCCCCTAATTTTATTCATCTTCCTAGCCTGGGTGAAATAAATCAGAGAAAACCCCTGCTGTCTTTATATTGTAACTCCTGCTCCCAGTATTTTTTAATCACCAGATGTTGCCAGTAATGATTCTCATTTGGTAATTTTAGCTGCACTAGGCTACATTTTCCCTCTTGACTTGCTCCATTATCATTCCCTTTTTGCTTTTCACCATCATCCTATTGTTTGATCTAGCCTTTTGTTCTTACAAAACCCTCACCCTTAGAACGCCTTTGAGCTTACATCTACAACATTTTCCAGTTGCAGTGAGGGGTAAACGATTATCATCACTAACGTGGGAAACAGGAGTCAGTAAAATACCCCACTTTGCTTATTTGAACTTACATAAGGCACTAATTTCAGCTCAGCTTGAGATTTGTGTCCAATTCAGGGTGCCACACTTTAGGAAGAATGTGAAGGCATTGAACAGTGTGCAGAAAAGGTTTACAGGATGGATCTAGGGACGAGGAATTTCAATTATGAAGATAGATTGGATAATCTGCAATTGTTGTCCTTGGAGAAAAACAAAAGCTAAAATGAAATCTGATTGAAATATTGAAAATCACAAGAGACTGGGCGGAGTAAACAGAAAGAAAACATTACCACACTGAACGGATCAAGAATAAAATGGCACGCATTTACAGTTATTATTACAAGAATAAAAAAGTGACATAACGGATAACTTTTCCACACAGCAAGTGATTACTGCTGAAATGCACTGCCTGCGAGTGTTGTGACACAGGTACAAAAGAGATATTCTGAAGGGTATTAGATATTTATTTTACAAAGAACAATGTGCAGGGTTACATGGGAAGGGCAGGGCTTTGCTCTAGGTGAGATGCTTATTTGGAGAACTCACACAGAAATGATGGGCTGAAGGGCCTCCTGAAGTGTAACAATTCTGAGATTCTAGATATTGGTGTATTGACCGAGCTGGGAGGTTTGATATCAAACCTCCCAGCTCGGCAAACACACCAACATCTACAACCAGCACTCGAGCTACAAATTTTCACTCAAACTCTGAATTCTGAGATTCTCTTTGGGGTCAACGGATGTGAAGCTGGAAAAGCACAGCAGGTCAGATAGCATCTGACGAGCAGGACAGTCAATTTTTCAGGCCGAGATCTTTCGTCAGGCCTCGTCCAATTATTTAGATCATTGTTGATATGTATCTCAACTTCATTTACCTGCCTGGGCTCCGTTGCCCTTAATTTCCTTAGCCAACAAAATGTGTTAATCTCAGTTCTGAAATTTCTTGCATTTCCTGCACAAACGTCTTGAACTGATGATCTACTGTATTCAGTGGCATCATGTCAGCCACTGAGTACTCGTCAGCTATATGGTCAGCTCTGGTTTTACTCACTTTACGGAAGAGTGCGGTGATGCGATCCCTGGTGTTGTAGAACTTTGAGTTAACCCAGATGATCCGGATGAGGTTGAGGATGTGAGGCAGCTTGGCTGGAATGTCTTTGACTTTCAGCTTCACCAGCTCCCCACAGGGGCTTGTAAGGATAGCCAGGAAGCTGAGGTTTGACTGGGCCTGTGAACGTCCATCCTGAATGCAAAGAGATTCAATAAATACAATAACAGGACAAAACACAAGAATTCAACACCACTGAAAAGGGAGCAGAAACAGCATCCTTGCAACAGCAATCCACTTCCAAGGTTTCTCACAAAGAGGAGAGTGAACCTGGTGGGCAGGAATAAAGGGATGGGGTAGGTGAAGAAGGCAATTGGAAAGGTGGTTTTTACGGAGGTGGGCAATGTTAGAATAGATGGGGAGGGGGGCTTGACAACAGATTTGCAAAGTGTGGAGGCGAGATGGCTGACAGGTTTCAGCCACATTTTTATAAAAGTCATATCTTAATGTTCCATGGAAAAAATTTAAGACTTAAATGGCCATGTTATTTTTATAATTGCATATTTAAAGAACTGCATTAGGAATACATTACTGTCTCATCAATCTAATGAAGCGAACTGTGTGATGATCTAATTGTTTGCCCATCCCAAAAAGAAAATCTCTCAGAGTATACATGTTCAATTTGTCAGACATTCTGACACAGCTGTCAAAGCATTTACCGGTGATCGGAGGTTTAGAAACTTCAGCACTCTCAGTTTTTTGCGAAAGAGAGTTCCAAACTTCCACTACTCTTTTGTGAGGAAATGCTTCCTGGCATCACGGTTGAACAGCCTGGTTCTAATTTTAAGATTATAAATATTGTTTCCTTTGTAGCTGGCCTCTTCCTGTCCAGTCAAACCTGTTAATTGTTCTAAACCTTAAGCATATACACCTGGGAGCATGACTGCAGGACACTGCAGAGGCCAGCTGTTGCATGACCTGAAAGAGATGAGAATTTCAGCTTTATTTCTTGGGGGGGAGGTGATGGTACAGAGAATCAGTTGAAGTTTGATTGATTGATTGATTTATTGTCATGTGTGCCGAAATTCAGTGGAAAGCTTTGTTTATGAGTGGTACAGGCAGATCACAGCAAGCAAAGGATGTACAGATCAAAAAGACTTATAGGGAAAGGGTAGGGGAATGGGTCTGGGTGGGATGCTCTTCGGAGGGGCGGTGTGGACTTATTGGGCCAAATGGCTTGTTTCCACACTGTAGGGATTCTATGATTCTATGATCACTGAGGCACATGTTTTAGGCAGGGTACAGGAGGGTCATTCCACAACACAGCAGGGTTATTTCCAACTCACAGAGCACTCTATTGATGAGCACAAAATTCACAAAACCAATCTCTTCAAGTTTCAACATTCGCCTTCTGATCAACTATACGTAACTGTGACACGTACACACAAAATTATAAAATAACTAATAATACCTCACTTTACAATCAACTAGTGAACTTCTATAACACAGACAATAGCAATGACAGTGGAAGTGAAACTTTAGAAGGTCATTACACAGACTCACCTAAGTCTGTAACTTGTGTGACTGTTGACATAGGAAAATTGAATAAGGAAAATGATACAGCATTTACAGTGAGAACTTTTAACCACAAAGCTTGAACAAAACGCTCAACATTGGGAAGCAAGGTTTGTGGTCCAGATAGGCAAGAATTTTTAACATAAAAATTAACTTTGGGGAAACTGCTGTTTGTCATTCTGGGAGAGCAAGTAACAGGAAAGAGTTATATCATCCACGGAATTGCTCACATTATTGGCAATAATGCCTGCAGAAATACAGAATCCCCTTCTGCACACCAGATTCAGCTAGCTGAAACAGAGTGGGGGTGACATACTATACGCTGAGCTGATTCTCTCTGCTGGGGCTGTAATAGGAGCTCTGTACATGGTCTGTACACAGAATGGGAGGAAGAAGGAAAGTTGAACTTGCACTCCTCTCAATATCCTCTTTAGATCCTGGTATCCTTGGCAGTAGATGCTATGTACATGAAGATACCTAGGGGCAGCTGTTACCTGGGACAGCAGGTAGCCTGGGCAGGGAGGTACCAGTAGGTATTTGAAGCTGGTACATTGGAGGCAAGAGAAGGTACGTGCAGGCAGTGAAGCCATCACTGCACTGGCTGAGTTCAGTAGCTTGCACAGGCTGGCAACTGGTTCCTGGAGCTGTCAATACTTTGCAAAGTCATTGATCCACCGAACGATAAAGGGAGTTATCAGTTGACTATTTTATACAGCCTAACTCGGACATACCTGGATAAGCTTGGCTAGTTTGAGGAAGGGAGCAATGTAAGAGGATTTGGAAAGTTCGAGGATAGACTGGATGTGTTTGACACCAGCTTTATCCAACTGAAAACCAATCCCCGAAAGATCATCACACCGGTTGCGCCAGAAATCAATCTCATCCAGTGGTCCCGAGATCTCGCCCGTCTCTACAGCCTCCTGTGCACTTAGTACATCTTTAATCTGACGAGTCCAGTGAACAACAGCAGCTGAAAATTGAAGTATACACATTAGACACTGATGCCCCACTCAACACATCCAGGCACTATTGATCAGAAAATAAAACCCACTTTCCCCTAATTTCATCCCTTGTATCTCCTGAACAGGAGCTGGAGAAGGTCATTAAACCCCTTGAATCTGTAACTTTGGAAAAGAAGGAGGCCATTCAGCCCTTCAAAATTGTTTCACAGAAATAGATTGTTTCAGAAGTACAACTGAGGTTACTCCATTAGGAGATTTGCAGCTATTCAATACACAACCAATAGTATGAATAGCAATGAAAGACATGATCAAACCATTTTTAATATAATGTTTTAATCTGGACAAGGAAAGTTGGTTAAGGCTGCATTATATCAATAGTGTCTCAGGATCATCCGCAATCACCTAACATGAACCCCAGAATAACATCTCATTGAAAGATCAGTTCCTCTGACAGTACAGCATTTCCTTCATTGTGTACCAGGCTACCAGCCTAAATTCTGTTCTCAATCTCAAGCTGAATAACTGAATACATTTCGAGGGAAGCTTAAAAGCAAAACATCAGTAAAGGAGTGAGATATGCCGATCAGATGAGTCACAGACAGATGTGACTTCGCACATTAAACTTGGACCGAACAGCCTACACCCATGCTGTAGGCCATGTGTTGTCTAGTCTGACATCTACATGGATCTTAGGGTACCTGTAGAGTGTGGATCCATATTCATGTTTGGGAATGAGTCCTGGTAAAACTTTACCTTCAAGTTGGGACGGCATGATGGCTCAGTGGTTAGTACTGCTGCCTCACAGCGCCAGGGACCTGGGTTCGATTTCACCCTTGGGCAACTACCTGTGGATTTTGCACTTTTTCCCCGTGTCTGCGTGGGTTTCCTCCAGGTGCTCTGGTTTCCTCCCACAGTCCAGAGTTGTGCATATTAGTTGGATTGGCCATGCTAAATTGTCCCATACTGTCCAGGGATGTGCAGGCTAGGTGGATTAGCCATGGGAATTCAGGGTTACAATGATAGGATAGATGGTGGGTCTGGCTGGGATACCCTTCAGAGGGTCAGTTCAGTCTCAATGAGCGAATGGCCTCCTTCCACACTGTATGGATTCTATGAAGTCCTATTCCTCCTCACAAACCTAAAAAAGCTATCCCAATTACATCTGTCCCAACAGACACATTCTAATATCTTTGGAAATATTTGAAGTTTGATCAATTCTTACAAAAAAGCTGCGCATAACAGGTTGCACCATTGCTAAGGAGAATGGAGATGATTCAGTGATTCTTCTCTCAATCCACGGAACACATGTGTTGCCCTGTTGTGAATATCTTCCACTGACTGCGGTTTTATTTGCGGGAGAAATCACCCAGCTATCATCGGGAAATTTTGCTCTAATTTCATTAATGAACTTGGAGACCATACAAATTCAAACCATATGAATGCAGGAGGTCCTTTATTTACTAACGCCCATACTTATGAGCAGCTGCTTTATATTGTCCTGCATCGTGTTCCAACTTGCATACAAATCGACTTGTGAATAGACTCAGGAATTGAACCCATTCACAACCTGGGGACTGTCTGTACTGCCCCATCTCACACAGTGCTATAGTGTACACACAGACAGACACACACACATAGATACACACACACATATACATGCACACACACTCCGTATGTGAACAGGCCTCTGCAAAACAACAATTTTATTCCCACTACTCCTTTTTTTTAGCCAGCTGATCAAGCTATTCTCCTGGGTCTGCTTGGTCAAAGGATGTCAGAATTTTGAATACTCCAATTGTGGCTCCCAATGGAAGTACTAGTTACAGCTCCATCAGCAGTGAATGACCAGAAGTAGCATCAAGCAGAGAATTTTTTTAACACAGATTCGGTTCACGGGAAAGCAAATGGGAAATGCTGATTTAAAATGTGACTAATCTTACTGTAAACTCTACTCACTTTCCAGTCTCTGTACAAGTTCTTTATCCTTCGCAACCTGATCAGGTGGCAAATTCATGCCCTCAAGTGGGATGTAGAGGACTGTGTGGCCATCCAGTTTGTAGCGAGCATCTACAGAAAAGGGCAGGGATACAGCAAATCTGAAAAAATCTTTTGCAATCCCAGTGCAGTGACCTGGTTCCCACCCCCACACCCCATCCGAAACTCTGCACAGCACACCTTGTAGAAAGTACTTCTGTCTAGATGTCAGGAGAGAAGAAAATCAGGGTCCTAAGCTGACCTGCCAGCATTCACCACCTTCCAAATCCAGGATGGTCCCCTTAGAAAGTTACCAGGACAGAAGTTGCACCTACACAACAATAATAAAAGCAGAGGGAAAACCATACTGACCAGTGCAGTGCTCCCTCATTACAGTCACTCTAACAGGGCAATCATCTGCCACTGAAGGCTCTCCAACAGTGCAGTGCTCCCTCAGAACTGATCTTCTGACAGTGCAGCACTCCCTCAGCATTGACCCTCCCACAGTGGAGTACTTTCTCAGCGCTGACCCTCCGACAGTGCGGCAATGCCTCAACGCTGACCCTCCGGCAGTGCCCGCTCCCTCAGCACCGACCCTCCGGCAGTG